GATGAAATATCATTAAGAATTAGGAAATCTAGTGCTCCGTATATCTTGTCTCATTTAACATATTTATGTAACAAGATCCTACTAACAGGTACTTTCCCAGAGAGACTTAAGTTTTCTGAAGTTAAACCGCTCTACAAGAAAGGTGATAAAGCTGAAATCTCTAATTACAGACCTATCTCACTTCTTCCAACTTTTTCTAAAATCATTTAAAAATTATTTATAAAAGACTGTACTCCCATTTAAATACTGTATGAACAATTCGGATTTAGAAAAGAATCATCCACTGAAATGGCAACGTATAATCTTTTAAATAATATACTGACTTCCCTAGAAAAAAAAATATGTGGGTGGTTTATTTTGAGACTTACAAAAGGCTTTCGATTGTGTCAACCACAATGTACTCCTGGAGAAAATGAACTTTTATGGAATCTCGGGTACAGCAATCAAATTAATGACATACCTTGAAAATAGGTATCAAAGAACAATTATGAAAGGTATTAAACTTAATAAAGTATTTTCAAAATGGGAGCTGGTCAAACATGGAGTTCCACAGGGCTCTATATTGGGACCACTATTATTTCTTATTTACATAAATGATTTCCCATTTTCCTTAAAGAAATTAGCTCAAACTATATCATTTGCGGATGACACAAGTATTATTATATCTAATTCAAGTGCTGAAGAATTTAGAAGTATGGTGTTCCATATATAATGCCTCCTACTTTTTTATGTTAATATGTAACGTCTGAGCTGGATGTTGGTGGTGTTGTAGTAAAGGTTGTACCTTCCCACCAATGTACTGTTAGTTTGGTTGTCATGTGACAGATAGTGACAACAGAGCAGTCTACCAAAATGGCGTCTGACATAGAAGTGTTTACGAAACAGAGATGTGTTACTGAATTTCTGACTGCCAAACAAATTGCACCCACTGACACCCATCGACGCTTGCTAAAGGTGTATGGAGATGATACAGTGGATGTCAGCACAGTGAGGCAGCGGGTAGTGCATTTCAACAGTGGCGAAAGTGAAGTGCACGACTAGCCATGTCCTGGGCGTCCCTGCTCAGCTGCCACTCCTCACAATGAACAGCGCCTCGATCAGCTCATCTGTACAGATTGGCGGATAATGACCAGGGAGTTGTGTGCACGGCTTAATATCGGCTGTAATGCATTGAAAATGATGTTGGGGGAGCTGGATTATTGCGAAGTTTGTTCCAGGCGGGTCCCACGGATGCTTACACAGGACCACAAAACTCATCGAATGGAAGTCTGTCAGGACCTGTTGCACAAGTTTGAGACTGAAGGTGACAAGTTTCTGGACAGCATCATCACTGGAGATGAGATGTGGTGTCATCACTACGAGCCGGAATCCAAAAGACAGTCCATGGAGTGGTGACATCCGGATTCTCCAAGAAAAAAGAAGTTCAAGACACAGCCATCAGCAGGGAAAGTGATGTGCACAGTCTTTCAGGATAGGCGGGGTGTGATTTTCTTGGATTTCCTGGAGCCTGGTAAGGCTGTCAATTCTGAACGCTACAAGACGAAGCTGAAAGCCCACATTTCCCGAGTCAGGCCAGAGAAGCAGACAACCTATTGGTTAATGCCCCCTCTTAGTATGAGTATCTTTAAAATTAAAAAAAGAATCACAAGAGTTATGTCTGGATCGGGCAAATTTGATTCATGTCGGAATTTGTTCAAAAAATTACAGATATTGCCACTCCAGTCTCAATATATTTTTTCCTTTCTTCTTTTCGTTATTAAGAATAAAAATTACTTTACATTTAACACGGATATTCATGATATTAATACCCGCCATAATTATAATTTATATTTACCCTCTACAAATTTATCAATAGTACAAAAAGGAGTGCTGTTCTCTGGAAGCAAGATCTATAATCATCTACCTTTGAATATTAAACTGTTTTCTAAAGATGTTAAGCAATTCAAATCTTTATTGAGAAGCTATCTTACTGAACATGCATTTATAGCACTGATGAATTTTACAACACAACTTCCCAATGAATACCTTTACATTATTTAGTTAATAGTTATAATTTACTTCTATTACCATATTTGTATTAATTCTATGCAAAATTGTTTCAGACAGCTACTGCAACATTTATGACATGTATATGAGATTTACTCTTATATTATTGTTTTATATTTATAATGAGTTTCTATATCCTATAGGTCATTTGACCTTGTATGGATTACTGGAATAAATAACTTCTCTCAGAAGTGTATTAAATAACTATTATGGTAATAAATACATTAATAAATAAATAAATTCATAAAACAAGAGATTGTATGTTAAAATAAATAAAAGTCATAGTAGGTATGTATGCAGATCTAAAGTAGATTATTATTTATATATTTTTAGTTAATAGGACTTGTCAAGCTTAATTTTTGATACTATTTATAAGAACCAAGATCACCCCTTGTGTTCCATTCATAATGGAAGACACTGCTGGAGTCAATGAGTAGTTTGTAATTGAAAGTAAAGGAATAATTCTTCAACGGTTATTTTACTGGTGGCATGAAACAGTACAATTAAACTAAACTGTTGGAATGACCTGAAAGTTGTGAAAATAGATTTGTACCACTAAAACTCAAAGTCTTGCATTGTGGTCAACACAGGGAAACATAAAAACATGTTCCAATGATTCCTTCCACATCTTTTTCACAGCTTCAATACCTAATATATTTCAACAGATGGTGCTAACATGTAAGCTTTGTGACCATGCTCTCTAATCAATTAATAAATTTTAACCTGAGAAAGAACTTCATGCAACATGGTTCACTATCACAAGGAATTTTCCCAGATAGACATAAGACCGGTTTAAAAAAGGTAGTAAATCAAATATGTCCAACTATAGGCTTATATCACTTTTAACTTCGTTCTCTAAGGTATTAGAAAAAGCTATGAGCATTCAATTGATTGAGCACTTAAATAACAATAACATTTTAGTGGAAGAACAATTTGGTTTTAGAACAAAATCTTCAACAGATGAGGCTATATACAAGTTAGTGAATGAAATTTGCAAGACCTTAAACAGCAAAAACTTAATAGGAGGCATTTTTTGTGACCTAGAAGAGGCCTTCGATTGTGTTAATCATGAGGTTCTGTTTTCGAAATTGGAGTTCTATGGGATAAAGGGTAAAGCTAAACTATGGCTTGAATCTTATTTCAGAAATAGATATCAAAGGGTTTTAATTACAAATATAAATCTTAAGCTCAATGAATTTTCGACACGGGGTAAAATTAGACATGGTGTCCCGCAAGGTTTGATTCTGGGTCCATTGTTATTTCTCATTTATATAAACGATTTACCCAAAACTATAAATGATAAAACTGTACCTATATTATTTGCAGATGACACTAGTTTGTTAGTTAAAAGTTCAAACTATGATGATCTGTGTAAATATAAACAATGCTTTTCATAGTATAAATGAATGGTACAAAGTAAACAAACTTTCTATAAATTTTTAACAAAACCCACTACATTCAATTACAGCTAGAAATAATAATCCTAAATCTGAAATAAAAATTGTATAAGATAAAAAACAAATTACATCTATATCCAAATTTAATTTCTTGGAATATTCACTGATGACACAACGAGCTGGAAATACCACATTGAGTATATTAGTTCCAAACTAAGTGCAGTCTGCTACATAATAAGATCGCTTAGACCATACACGTCCATAAATACCTTAAAAATTGTTTATCACTCTTATTTTAATGCTATTATAAATTATGGTTTACACTTTTGGGGTAACTCACCCAAAAGTATACAAATTTTTAGAATGCAAAATATAATTAGAATTATGTTGGGACGCAGAAGGAGGGATTCGTGCAGGAACTTATTTAGAGAATTAGAAATCTTACCTCTGGCATCTCAGTACATACTATCTCTTATGCTCTTTGTGATAAAAAACAGAAACAAATTCATAGTAAATTCAGAGATTCATAGAATAAATACCAGACAGCAAAATAATCTCCATCAGCCGCTTGTAAATTTGAGTAAATACCAAAAGGGAGTTTACTGTTTAGGAACAAAGGTCTATAATAATCTACCACAACATATTAAGGATATATCAAGTGACAATAAGAGTTTTGAGGTACAATTAAAACAATTTTTATATATACATTCTTTTTATTCTTTATAGGAATATTTTGGTTATAAATGTTTTTAAGATGCAAGTAGTTGTCTTGCTTTACAATTAAAGAAGACAAGATTGTCTGTCTGTGTTCTGGTTTTTAGATGCTTATTTTAGATATACACAATCTTTATATCACTGTATACTAGTCTTTATTTCAATTTATTATATAATTAATGTATGTTATATAAAACTCATTAATGACATTGTGTTTTAACTATTGAATTTTTAATTAATAGACTTGTATAAAACTGTACAAATTGTATAAGGATTGCCATTACTTTTACTACTAAAATTAACTTATTTATTATACTGTATGTTTATCAGTATTTTATACAAATGTGTATGCTCCTGGATGAAAACCGTAATCCTTAGTTGTGACTGTAACTAGGATGATCTCCACATCCGCATGAGAACGTACTCTCAACAGGATTTATGGAAGGTGAGTATTTACTTACTCATGGAGCTGAGCCCTTCTGGAGGAGCCACCAATTTTGCAGCTACTCAAGAATTTCCCAGCATTTTATGGAGCCCGAAGATTCATCACTGTGTTCACAAGAGCCCTCCACTGGTCCCTATCCTGAGCCAGATCTATCCAATCCATACCATGCCATCCTATCTCTCTAAGATCCATTCTAATATTGTCCACCCACCTACGCCTTGGTCTTCCCTGTGGTCTCTTTCCTTCTGGCTTTCCCACCAATATCCTATATGTATTCGTCTCCCCCATTCGTGCTACATGACCTGCCCACTTCATCCTCCTTGACTTGATCATTCTAATTATACCTGGAGAAGAGTGCAAGTTATGAAGCTCCTCACTATGCAATTTTCTCCAACCTCCTGTCACTTCATCTCTCTTCGGTCCAAATATTCTCAACACCCTGTGGTGGAAGGTGAATAAATTAAATGAAATGATTAGTTACCTTAAGCTCCCTAACGACATGTAATTCCCCATAGCTGAAGCCTATGTCACAAAATACAGCCTCAAAATTTCTTTTCCACCATGAAAATCTTTATGACTATCCCAAATATCTGCTAGAATGCTATTCACAGTCCCTGATTCACCTACATATATATATCACATATTATGTCACTGCTTTTAAGGTCTCAGAGATTCATTGTTTCGGCTTATTTTGGTCTTTGCACCTTGTGGATGAGAGTAACGTTGCCTGCACTTGTAACTGAAATTGATTATTCAAACATCCAATATTTATCTCTTACCATTAAAAAATGTCAGCAATATTTGTATTTATTTTAATCATGTCCACCGAGGTCAAAGTTCACCTGGCGAACTGTAGGTCTCACATTCCTTCTGGGTGGCTCGACCTGGCTCATTTTTTATTTTCAGACTCTCTTCTTGGAACACAGAACGTGCTGCTCTCTTCGCCTTCAAATACTACGAAATTTTTTTATAGGACATCTCAAAGGCACGTCCGGTTGGCCACGCTAACCTATATACGGTTAAACAAAATCAACAAAATTGGCATTCTGGCTTTTGTACTACGTACAATTCAGGTCAAATAATAACATTTAAAATTCCATTCCTAACAGTACAAATATGTTAAATGTCCCCTTAAGCGATCATACACCACATACATTTACGTCATACTACAAACTATTTTCGTGCGCAGTTACAGAACAAACACGCTTCTTTTCTCTTCGGGAGACGTATAGGCCGGTGTGGCCATCCACACACCAGAGCGCACCAGAGACACCAGATCACCAGATCGATCGCGGTGGCAGTGGCGGCCGTGAAGGCCGTCAGATTTTTCCCGTTGTGTTTTATAGCCGGTTATAGACGGTTATAGACCAGGCAGCGTTCTTGCGCGCAGGGTTCTACTCCGCGGTGGCGGTCGGTGGCGATTAGTTGTCGAGTTTGACTGCTGCATGCGTCGTCATCATCAACTACGTCTGCGAAAAGTAACGTTTTTTCCAGACGAGATAATAGATGCATCGTGTACGATGTTCTGATTACGCGATTTTTCGAACTGATCGCTACCACCACGGTGTTGGTGTGAGAAGACTTTATCGCCACCGCGACCTGACCGTGATCGCTCTGTTGTGTGGAAGCCTTATTGGCTGTCATGGCAACAGTAGACAGCTTCTTCATTGCTACGACGACATAGAAACAAAGCACGTTAAATTTACGAAAAATTAACAGAAATAACTCACACACTGCTCTTGCTTCCTTATTAGCGTATTACAGTCAGTTTCTTCGTTGTAAGACGACGAAATATTATTTAAAGTTAATTCAGATTATAGTTATGATAAGGATATCCATAATGTTGGCAATCGTACGGCCAAAGCAATCGAAAGCAATGAAGTGTGGGTAGTAGAATACTACGTTAATCGCACAAAACTTTACATCCCTACGATCCATATGATGGAACCAAGGTCGAGGTGAAGAACTGCTCGTGCCAGTTAACATGAACCATTGTAACATAAGAAGCTTCATAGCATCTTCATGTATCGGTTGCCAGGACCTAACATCCCACATTATTTTGTGTTTCCATAATATATAATATTGTGACATGACGGCGAAAGTCGGAATAGTGGAACTTTAAGAGGCCGTGATTGCTAAGCAGGGGCACGTGCGGCAGCAGATACAGACGCAAATGTATTAGAAGCGAAATTGTCTATGCTGGCGTTTGTGACAGCGCCGCTGTAGACCTGTTTCCGCAGCAACGAATCAACTCGCCAACAGTAAACAGTGTTTTCTGTGTGGTCCGCCCTGAGTCTCTATAACTGTAGCTATAGCTAAATATACTTGCACTTTGCAAGCAAGAACTGGGAGTTTGTGGGTTGTGGTAGCCAAGAATTGTACTACAGAGAATTGGAGAAATATTTCCTGCTGTAAGAAAAATGATGGTGAGTGTTATATACTTGTTTGCAGGATAAAGGTTATATTTACCTTCAGCTATTGATACAGAAGCCTAGAGTAACCAATATTTTGTTGCAAGATAGTATCATTTCCCCATAATCCATGTGGTTGACTAGTTTAGCATGTGTATTAATTAGAATGATACATTCAAGATAGGTGATGTGGGCAAGTCATTTAGGATAGATGTGAGAATGAGAAATACATAGAGGTATCCACATTGTAAACCTTCAGGAACCAGACCACTTTGGAGACCTGTGCATAAAGGGATGATGGAATTAATCATTTTCATGCCACAAGCTGATTAGATTGATAAGGTGCTCACATGTTAAAATTGCCAGAGTTGAGTGTTAATCCTGTAGTAGATAATTTCTGTCAAAAGATGACAGAAGCAGGCTCTCATGCTGTCTACATCTGTAGATATTTGAAAGTAATCTGCTGATGTACTGAGGTTATTTTTAGTTCTGTGGTAGGACTGGTCAGCCAGAGGATTAAAACACCTCACCAGATACAAACACCACATGGAATGAATATGGGCCAGTGACAGTATAATTGCATTGATTGTTTTTTTCAGAGCCTTATGGATATCGAGAGAGTACGAGGTCTGTGTAGTGAGATATGCCCATCATCTTCTCATGATGCATATCCACCCATCGGTATAAAAGCTGAGGTAATTTCAGATGAAGAAGAAGAGGAATATTCTGTGCTGATCACAATTCCAAGAATAGAGGTCAAACCTGAGGTAAACTGTCTGTTAGGTGGATTTCACAAATACAGATATCCCTTGTTTCATGAACTTCACTACAGCAAATGACTTACATTCATGAGTTTTATTTTTTTACAAGAGTAGAGAAATATATATACATCATGGTACAGGTGGGGACTCATTTTATGTGACTTACGAATGAGCTTCAAACTTTTGCATGTACAGTAATAGGAATATCAATTTTGATTTATGATATTTCACCTTACAAACAGTTTAGTGCAATGAATTGCCTTCATGAAACAAGGGATATTTGTATGCAGAATTGGTAGTTTTCTTTCTGATGTCCATCTGTCTGTGCACATGAAACAACTTAACTGTGGTCACTGGCTTGTGAAGATCATTTTCTGAAATGTCTTATGATGATTGTTATCTGGTGAGTGCTGCTTGTGGTGTACCATTTCCATTTTCTCTTAAGAAAATCTAATATACTTGAAATTAAATATTGTGTAAATTGAAGAATATTTCAGAGAAATTCTATAGCTCCAAAAATTTTCAACATTTTTCTTGTCCATGTACTAATCCAGTAAGCTTTGCTTTTGAACTACGTCATAGGACTCCCAGGATCTAAAATTGTCATTTATTTGTTTTCTAACTTTGATACAATTTGTATTCATATAATAAGAGAGTCATCATGTTGAGGATCTGTAACAGGATAAATAATGATTCTCTAAAATCTATGATGATGTCTGAGAGATTATACAGACATTCTGGACATTGCCCATTGCCTGAGTCTGAGTCTCATTTTATGACCGACGGTCAGTTGGCCAGTCTTTCTTGGCATAAAGCACCCATTTGGGGCTTGCTACCAGATCTTTATTATTGTTTGACAGTTACGGTCTTGTATTTTTGTGGGTGCCCTCTCTGATGAGAGGATGGGTCTGTCTTTTGTATATGCTGCTGGTCCTCGCTAGCGCAGTCTTTCTTGGATCCGAGGCCCTTGGTACCCGAGACCATATATTACTGTGTCAAATTTGAGACTCCCTTTTTCATCGCCTCCTATGACTTGGAGGGTCACGGTGGAGGTATTCGAACTCGCCTCCACAAGGGCCTTGCTCATTGCCTGAAGTATATTTAACGTACCTGATACTTTGGGAATTGCCTCTTTTCCTGCCTTTAGGTGACTCTCATTGTATTGACGGATTTTGTGTTATTCTTTTATGTTGATGTTAGTGGCATGAGTTGGGATGAAACATTGGCCCTTCCAGTAATCTGCACACTTCATCCCACAGCTGAAGACCATGGTAGTTACTAGTAGAAGAAAGATATTTGTTGAGCTTTCCCAGCAACAGCAGGCTGGGTTTGGATACAAGTGGCACAGAACACAGTTTATTTCTGTGCATGGATCTGAAGCACTCAGAAGGATTCAGATCATTGCACTGGTTTGTGGTGCACAGGCAAACTTTCCTCCAAACTTGCCTGGTGCAGAAGAGACAATAATTATAGCATAAGCTGAGTTGACAGATGATTCTGACATTGAATCTTACATATGATGATTTTACTGGCCACACATGTTCATTTCTCATGAAAAAAGACATCACTTTAAGAATTAACTCTTCTACCCACAATGTGAATAGGAGTAGGTGGTAGTGCAGTTAGTTGAGGCACTACGCTACAAGCCGGAAGGTTGTGGGTTCAAGTCCTGATGAGGTCATTGAATTTTTTCAATTGACCTAATCCTTCCAGCCACACAATGGCCCCGGGGTTGATTCTGCCTCTGGCAGAAATGAGTACCAGGAATATTCTTGGGGGTAAAGGGTGGCTGGCACGTAGGGCTGACAACCTTACTGCCATCTATGAGCGAATTGTCTAGAAAATGTGGGAACCTCAACATCTCACAACCCTATGGGCCTCCATGGCCTGTTACAGGGATACCTTTACTTACTTTTTTACTTTTTACCTACAGTGTGAATATGTTTGATCCACTTGTCATAACACAGTATTTTCAATCAGTCTCTTAACCATATTAAATTTCAGAGTGACCATTAGTAACAGAGAGACTGTTGGGTTTTTTAGCCGCGTGAAAAGATTTTCATCCAAGTCTAGGGGTGGAAACAGTATCTCCAGTCACTGATTGCATGTTTGCATGCATAAGACATCTACTAGTGGCACTGCAGTTTCAGTTTGTGGAAGTGAGACATAAGTGAATTCTTATGTTCTGTTTGAAACTGTTGAGTGGTGCTAGTTGCAAAGATTTTGAAAGGGAAGGCATGTAACATTATAGGAGGCAGAGGGACTTTCCACTATTGGCTTTCAGCTGCAGAATGCAGAAGCGGGCATGGCTTTTTTTTGAAGGTTTGAATAATGTCAGTAAAGATTTTTGAAGATGCAGTAACCAGGGCTGATGATTTATTCAGAATATTTAATGAAATTGCAGGGGCCTGCATTTGAAGTGGGGTCTTGGAACCCAGAGATTCATATGGTGCTATGGGTTTGATATGTTACATCAGTGTTTGGGTCTGCTCTGAGTTTGCCTAAGATGTGTCCTATGTGTGAGGGTTTGCTCGAGGATACAATTGTGTATGCTGATGAACTGTTTAATAAGGGGTTGACTGGTTGTACCTTTGTCTGTGGAGACAAGGTTTTCTTGAGCTGTTGCCATAATTCCTATAGCCTTTATGTGGTTGTACTCTGTGACTTGGCTGTAGTATATGAGAGGACTGTTTCATCTGACTTCAGCCTTATCATTCTGACTTTTGCATCAAGAGACCCATCTCCATAGGGTATGGAAATGAGTTGCCTTTTGCAGAATATTTGATCCTTTGGGTCTGCTGAAAAATGCCGCTTGTAATAAAGCTTTGAAAAAGATTTGTGATTGGTCCCATGCAAATAAATCAGTTCTGTGGAATATCTTGTATTATATGCATCTACAGTTGTAGTGAAGTTGAACTCAGTCACCACTGATGAGTGACTGAGTGTGGTTTCTCCCTAATAGCCAAAGTAGACCAATATGTCTGTACATCTGTGGTGTCTCATCCTGATAGCAGATGCATGCACGACATATCAGAAGCAATAAACTACTATCCTTGGAATTGAGCATTCCATACTGCTGCAGAAATGCTTGCAGTCCATATAATCAACAGATGAAGTATGAGGCTGCCATTCAGAGCCAGTATTTAATGATGGCTTAAGCCAGTTGTAAGACTGCCCCTTTGGTCTAGTGGTCAAGAGTTCCTGGATACAGATCCAGAGGTCCTGGGTTCGATTCCCGGCGCTACCAGATTTTGTGAGAAGTAGTGGGTTTGGAACGGGGTCCACTCAGCCTCATGAGGATAACTGAGGAGCTACTTGAATGGAAAATTAGTGGCTCCGATCTATAAAACCGATTAATAATGTTATATTTTAGCGTCCTGTTGCACTGATTCACGTTCATGATGTGTATTTGTACTAACCGTCTTACAGTGCAGACAATTTCACCTTTCTCTTCACTACATGTTTCGGCACTAATGTGCCATCTTCAGGTGTGGTTTTATTTACGTCAAACCATTGCACTATATGCAGTCACAAGGGAAGGACACAACACAGGACGCAATATACACAAGAATATAGGAAGAGTACTCCCATAGGAGAGGATTGACATAACTCGTGAATTTGAAGTGCGACATATAGATGATAAATCTTGAAAAGTTTTAATATATAAACTTTATTATTATACATGCCATATGTACATTTTAATCATTTTATAAAGGAGACATGATGGCATACAGTGCAATGGTTTGACGTAAATAAAACCACAAAACAAGGTGGCACATTAGTGCTGAAACATGTAGTGAAGAGAAAGGTGAAATCGTGTGCACTGTAAGCTGGTTAGTACAAATACACATCATGATCTATAAAACCGAGATTAACGGCTGTGGGAATCCATTGCACTGACCACGCGACACCCTCTATCCACAAAAGTTGACATTAACTTCGATAACAAGAGGCGGTCGCTCGGTCGGTATAGTCTGCTTGTGGACTAAAGACAACAGGAGTTTTTTTTTAAGACAGTTGTGAAGTGACATATGTAAATGATTCAAATCAACACATTTTAAGTGATATTAGTGTTCAGATGCTGTGAAATGCTGTTGGTGTTAAACTTGCACATAAACTAGAACTGGTGCATAGGCTGTAAACGTATAGAGTTCCGAGGGTGAAAATTACAGCAAGAAAGAGAATATCAGGAATTTTAAATTGAGTGGGCCAAGCCTGATGCATTCATACCAGATTTAGAGGATTCTATTCCATTCCAACAGATGACATTTTGTAACGAAATCTAGCATGTTTGCCTGAAACTATTCAGTTGCAGATGTTATCATAAAACAGTATGGGATCTACAGAGCAAAGTACAACAAATGAGATCTGCAGTAGACAGGTGGACAAATCATCACATAATACCACTAGTGCTAGTCCATTTGTAGCTCAGCATGTTGCTGAACGAGTGAAAGAATTCTCATGTGAAGGAAAAATACCCTCTGTGATTAGAATTTCAGAGGTTGGTTACACCTTTCCTTTCATATTGGAGCCCCCCATGTTCCCATTGGCAGTGTTACGAGTATATATGCATGTTATCATCAGGGAAATGGAGTGCTTCCAGGGTCAGCTTTAAGGGTGACTTTGTTTGCTGTCATCATCCATGGGATGGAAAATGTGGTTGGTCCATATTTGTCGACATTACTGTATGTTCATGATATCACAATCTACCAGAGTTTCCTGGAGCGCTTGTGCATTCAAAAGCTCACATCAGATCACTCTTGTGTTCTGCACTGGATTCACTAGAGTAGATTTCCTTTCCCTGCTGCAAACACCCAGGGCATACACGACACACAATTCCATGGTGTACATCCCCACCCTCCCAAGTCCATACCCAGCTAGTAGATCTCTGCCAGTTGCTTCATCTGTTACGTGTCTTGGCCTTCTGCTTGAGAGTAAGATTTTGTGGGAACTCGACCTCAGATGGCTACATGGTAAAGGCAAATATTCACTGTATATTTATATGA